AAAAAAAAAAAGAGTCACACGCTCTACCCACTGAGCCAGTGGGGTGCTCCTACTTTTTTTTTGGCCATTAGGATAGGTGTGTAGTGATATCTCATTGTGTGTGTGTGTGTGTGTTTTTTAAGATTTTATTTATTGAGAGAGAGAGAGAGCAGAGGGGAGGGGCAGAAGGCAGAGGGAGAGGGAGAAGCAGACTTCTGGCTGGGCAGGGAGACCAATGCAGGACTCCATCCCAGGACCCTGGGATCATGACCTGAGCCGAAGGCAGATGCTTAACCGAGTCACCCAGGCGCCCCTCTTTGTGGTTTTAATTTGCATTTGCCTAATGGCTAATGATGTTGAACATCTCTTCATGTGTTTATTTGCCATCTGTAAATCCTCTGTAGTGTAATGTCCGTTCTTGTCTTTTGTTTATTTTCTAATTGGATTTTTTTTTTGAACTGTTGAATTGTGAAAATTCTTTATATGTTCTAGATACAAAGCCTGTGTTGGATACATGGTTTGCAAATACTTTCTTTTATCCAAGAATGTAGCTTGCTTTTTCATCTTCTTCTCAGGGCCTTTCATAGGGAAAAAGTTTTTAATTTTGATAAGGTTCATTTTACCAACTTTTTCATTTTATGGATTGTGCAAGTCTAAAAACTCTTTACTTGGCCCTCGGTCCTGAAGTTTTTTGTTTTTTGTTTTTTTTTAGAGAGAGAGAGAGGGAGGGAGGGAGCATGAGCAGGGGGAGGTGCAGAGGGAGAAGCCAACTCCCCGCTGAGCAGGGAGCCCCACGCAGGACTCCCCATCCCAGAACCCTGGGTTCATGAAAGCAGAGCTGAAAGCAGAGGCTTAAGTGACTGAGTCACGCAGGCGCCCCTGAAGATATATATGTATTTTTAAAGATTTTATTTATTTATTTGACAGAGAGAGACACAGTGAGAGAGGGAACACAAGCGGGGGAGTGGCAGAGGGAGAAGCGGGTTTTCCGTGGAGCAGAGAGCCCAATGTCGGACTTGATCCTTAGCACACTGGGATCATGACCTGAGCCGAAGGCGCTTAACGACTGAGCCACCCAGGCGGCCCCTGAAGGTATTTTTTTACCATGTTTTTTCTAAACTTTTTATAGTTTTATATTTCAATCTATGATGCATCTAAAAATATTTATTATTTATTTATTTGAGAGAGATTACACACGAGTGGGGGAGGGGCACAGGCAGAGCCCTGCGCTTGGCTGGATGTCAGGAGAGATAGGCCCAGAGCCAAATCAAGAGTAGGATGCTTAAAGACTGAGCCACCCAGGCACCCCTCTATGATCCTTTTTTTTTTTTCTATGATCCATTTTGAATGAATCTTGTTTAAGGTGGAGGTGTAGGTAGAGGTTCTCTTCTTTTCTTTCTTTGCACATGTCCAGTTCCTTCAGCACCAAATTTTTTTTTTTTTTTTTTAAGTAATCTCTACAGCCAATCTGAGGCTTAAACTCACAACCTCAAGATCAGGACTCCTGAGCTCTAGGCACTGAGCCAGCCGGCGTCCCAGGACCAGTTGTTGAAAAGGCACAAGTGCCTTTTCACCCCCACCCATTTATTCTATAGCAGTCAGAATGATTTTTTTTTAAAAAATGTGTATCAGATGATGTCATTCCCTGTTCAAAACCTTCCAGTGGCACCACAACATAACCTGGCCTCTCTCTGATGGCATTTTCTTTCTTTCTTTCTTTTTTTTTTTTTAAAGATTTTATTTATTTGACAGGGAGAGACACAGCGAGAGAGGGAACACAAGCAGGGGGAGTGGGAGAAGGAGAAGCAGGCTTCCTGCGGAGCAGGGAGCCCGATGCGGGGCTCGATCCCAGGACCCTGGGATCATGACCTGAGCCGAAGGCAGACGCTTA